GTTGTTTTATCAAGACTAACTTATTCATTTTAAGACATGTCAACTAATACCTACAGTTATATGTAAATAAGCTAATGTTAGCTTTATACTTACCATATACTCAGAATGATACATAAACAAAAACACTTAAACATCCTCATTTTACTGTTACATTTACTTGTTTTTGATAACACACAGGAAGTTCCTGAAAATATCATGTGGATTAAATTTTATTATTATCAACACATTAATTAACACAGTGAAAAAGAGCAATGAAAATAAAAGTTCAAGAATGAGAATACAAAAATAAAATAATACACTTACTGTGTGAGTCAGTACAACTACTTTGTAATTAATTTTTTTAAAAATGGAAACGTAAAGCACTTGCCAAGCATATTGCAAATTAGAAGGGATTCACTTTTGGTTTAATAAAGAATATATTTGTTAAACATAATACAATTTATCAGTACACTAACAGAAACACTTCAACAAAGAGAAAGAGTACTCACATACCCAATAATAATATTTGAAAATAGAAATAAAACTAAATCACGTACAGCATGAATTAAAATAAAGACAAAAAAACTTAAAAGAAAGGAGAAAAGACTGACTTTTGGTTTTCTGAAAGGCTAAAAATTATTATGCCAATTTTGTTTTTTATTCATCATTTTTCCTATATTTATTGTAGTTCTTAGTTTATTATCTAGTTCAAGTTTTGTTTACATAATTAGATATTTCATCTTTTATGCTGAATGACAAGTCTACCCATATTTTCTTAGGAATTAAGCAGCTCATACCATGTTCGTGTTTGTTTTAGAGCGAAGCCACATTAGGCTATTTGTTGTGTCCACCACAGGGAATCGAACACCAAATTTTAGCATTGTAAGACTCACCACTGTCTTACCAGGGGGAAACCTCATACCATGAGCAATATTCTTTCATTTCAAATTTAATTTTACTATAAAAAGTAAGTTTGTACCACACATGAACTTCATAAACTGACAATGATAAACTTACTCCTGTATTTTTATACTAATGGCTCATTATTTCGGAAGTTAACTTTTCAATGATGAAATATGATCTGAAAGGACATACTTCCAGCACTTACCACAAAACAATTAAAGTGAGATCTTATAAACAATCAGCTATCTACAATTCATTTTCACTTCTTACACTATTAAGTACTTTTCAATATATGAAGTCAAATTTTAGATACCTGTTAACATTAATTAGCAGTATATATATATA